GAGATCTCAATTTCAGTGAAAATAATCGTGATTATCATTTTTGCCATAATCGAGCAGCCCTACACAACAGATCTCATTTCTCAGCTTTGTGCAGACTGCAACCTATTATAGACTAAACGAATAACTGAGGATTTTTATCAGTGTCACATGTCTAGATATTAGAGTATTAGATGGAAAGTCGGTTCTTGTAGTTGGAGGCAGAAGAAGGAAAGACCTGAGTGATTTTACCAAGGACCAGACAGTGAGACAGTAAGGCTTTTGAGTTGTGCCAATCATCGGCTGCTTTTACCTTGTTTTCCCTTAATGGGTTACAAAAAAGTAGAAATATATCAGTTTAAGACTGCTTTAGCAATAAAAGCTAAATGCATCCAATTCAATAGTTTAACATCAGACAGTGTGAAAGCTGAGTCTTACCGGCCAGATGTTTTCATTGGGAGTTCCCAGCAGCTGAACGATCAGGTCGACCTGCTGGATCTCAGAGGTTCCAGGCAGCAGAGGTTTGTGGGCTAGCAGCTCAGCCAGGATACAGCCCACTGCCCTGTAAAGGAAACATCACGTCTGGCTTTAATTTCCTGACGGATCCTCAAGGGATATGAGGCCTTTTCCCTTTGGCACAGAATTTATTAACTTAGGACAATTATACATATCATATTCTGTTTCATTTTGTTTCATCTACTGGCAGACCACTTTAGTATGAGGGTAAACAAAGCTTCAACAAAAATAAGCACAGCCTCCATAAAGTGAGTGCTTTGATAGTACAGCTGTAATTACTATCCTATAATTAAACTTTCCTAAAGAGATTATGATAAGAACGCAGTGTCGGTAGAGTGGTTAAAAGCTGGTTATTAGATGCTTTTTCTCGCTATTAAAACCACCTTCCTTGTGCAGTATACTGATCCTAAGCGTATAGATTTCACGTGTATTTCCTCACCACATGTCCAGAGCCGTAGTCTGAGTCTTCGTCCCTAGGAGGAGCTCTGGTGCTCTATACCTGCACGAAGGAGAGCATATTAGGACAGCGGCCCGAGGTAATGGAGCTAATAAGGGAGGATTATTGTGAGGGGATTACAAGGGAGTTTCCACTGAGGCTGCACCAGCACAGCAGCACGAGGGTTATATGCAGGGCACAACACCCACACAGAATACCTCAAATGAGTTCGACTAACTGGGTAAACACTCACCACAGCGTAACTACTCGTGGTGTCATGGGTTGCTGAGGAATGCCGTACATCCGGGCCAGACCGAAATCAGCTGTGTGCAGAAAATAACGAGTGCTGATCAGTTCAACATCAAGTAATC